GTGGGGGGGGGCCACCATGGGGGCTGGTGGGGCTTTGCCCCCCCCCCCAGTTATATAGTTAAAAAATGCCCTGGAATGCCCTAGAATTTTCAGATGAAAATACTGTATTTTGGTCGAAATAACAATGAAAGAACAAAATAAATAATAGTAACTTTTGGAATAGTCAGATATATGTTACATTACTTTAGAAAAACCGGTAAAAGACTGAAGGAATACACAGGAAAAGAAACCAGGCCGGCAGTTTCGCGCCATTTTCGTCTTTGCCCATTCTTGCCCGGTTGAATTTTAAACTGTAAATCGTGCTAATTATAACAAAATAATATACATTATATAGAGAATAATACATGGGTGCGCGGAAATACCAGATTTATTTCGAGTGTTGAACATGATATCTCACGAGTGAGCGCAGCGAACGAGTGAGATATCATGTTCAACACGAGAAATAAATCTGATATTTCCAAGCACCCATGTATTTTTCTGTTTATTATATAAACAAAATTCAGTGAAAAACAATAAAACGTCCGTGGCAATGCGTTTTACAACAAATGATATTTTCACACGTAAAAATATCGTATTTTTTACGTGTGTTGAAATACGATTTTTCTCAGTGGCCAAAAACTGTATATAACACTTATGTTTATATAATAAAAACATTTACACCAGTTATTTCTTAAAAAAAAGATGGTTCAAAGGGATCGGAAACAGTAGTCAGTAGGACGACGTAAAATGCGAAAAACATGGTTTTTCCCTATGTTGCTCTATGATTTTTGACCGGTTGAGCTTGCCGAGTCAGCAATCTAGGTCTCCTTTATCTATGGTTAAAATCTTACCAGTTTAAAGCTTTCAACTGTCTTGGTGACCTATTAAAATTTAATATTAAACGGCGAAAACAAATTTCGCCAAACACATAGGTCGACTAACCATTCTAGTTCTTATTTAATTCATTGTGTCTTTCGTTAGATGTCAAATGATGCGCCAGATCCACATGATACGCCAGATTCGCATGATACGCCAATAGTGATCAAGATTTCTCCCGAGGTCTTACTTAATAAAAACAAGAAAACAGCAATAGTGAAAGCCACTTGTTCAGCAGTTTGCGGTCTTCTAAACAGCCACTATGGTGGAATACTTAAGCTTACGTCATCAAAATCCTTGACACCAGCTATGCTTGACGAACTTGTTCGAGGAATTGAGCAAACTTTAATCGAGCACCTTGGTTTGACTGGTCTTCTCGAATATTGCCAAACAGAAATCACAGGGCTCGGTAAGGAAATTATCTTTACAGTTAAGCCTAGCGATCGTGTTTGCACAGTAGAATACAATTTGGTCTTGCCAACGGATTTTCTTGTTAAGCAAGTGCTTAGAACGGAACCGTTAGAAAAGATTGCACGAGTGCTGAAACCTGGTCGGCCATTGGTTAACGTTCACCTGCAGAACCATGTGCTGGAATTCGTAAAAGAATCCATAATGCCGGAAGACCTGAGGGAGTCGGATAAGGTTCAATTTAAGAAGGTCAAATCAGATAAGAATAAAAACAAATCTATAGCAGACCGTATAATTGCTAATAAAATAGCGCATTACATCGCAGCATTCGCAAACCATTTGGGAGGGCACGTCTATATTGGCATCGACGACGAGACCTACAAGGTTTGCGGTCAAATAGTTGTCGAAGAGGAAAAACAAAGAATCGTTGAGAAGATTGGATCTGCAGTAGCAAACATGGTTTGGCCAGAGGAACACGGCAAACCAGAGCTTGGCAAACACTGGGATATCTCCTTTGTTCCCGTGCTGGATTCCAATAAGGAAGCCATTCCCAGCTTGTTTGTCATCGTGGTCGCGATAGCCTGTTGTCCTGGAGGTGTATTCCTTAGCCATCCCGAGGCATACGAGATAAACGACGGAGAGGTGGTACGTATGGAATTCAAGCGATGGAAGAAAAGGTTGTTGCACGATGCGCACATGCGAGATATCGTAACATTTTGCAGAGAAAACTCTTGGAAGAAAGTCGGCATATGTCGGGTTGCAGAGGGTGAACAGAGCGATTCGGGATTACCCAAACAGGACTGTATTTCTGCTGCATGCAATTCTGGAAGTAGTTCCATTCCATTCGCAATCCCCAAAGTTTCACCTCGAAATACCAAATGCAGGGCTTTTTGTCGGAGGATAACGGACTACATGGAACAGCTTATACAAGATGGAGACTTTGATAAACTTCAAACCTTTGCTTCAAAAATGTGCCTAAAGAATAAGGTATTTCCCGAAGCAGACATCGAAGTAGCTGTTCATTTCATGCTTGCCTTAGGAGCATATCGTAGACGTGAATTTGTAGAAGCATACGATAAATTGGACAAAGCAAGTTCTTTAATCACTGCGACGGGAAACGCAGGAGAGTTTGAGGTACAAAGACTTCACCTCCTTGCATGCTTTCGCAGAGGTGAAGGCGAATATGATACGAGCTACGAGGTAACTTATGGTGGATTGCAAGAAATTGAAGGAATGTCACCTGGGTGGCACACTGCTTGGGTTTTGAACGACGCGGGTTATCTGTTTAGCATCTTGGCAGGTGAGGAAAGAAATGAAGATGTTCGCAAGTCTCTTGAACAACAAGCAATTTCATTGTATACCAAGGCTATTGACCACACCTCAACGATTAGGGAAAAGCTAAATGAATCTGACCAAGGTTCAGTCCTGAAGTCAAATCTTCTTCATCGCTGTCACCTCAGACGGGCAATGCTCTCCCTCGGTTGCAAGCCTTTGGCAGAGGAAGACGATGGCAATCTAAAGGTTACAAATGAAGAGATCGGAGTCGCGATATCGAGTATACTCGTGGTTGAAGAGAGCAGTCTAAAGGGCGATTCCCTTACAGACGTCAACGAGTGTTATTTGTATTTGGTGAAGTCTGACTTGAATTATCGTCGATCGCAGTTCAGTGATGATCACTGTGAGAAGTATACCAAAACGGCCAGAGACTGGGCCACAAAAGCACGTGACTTAGCAGCCAAAGATCAGTTTTGTGGAATATTCAAATACGCGCAAAGTCGAATTGATCTTCTCACGAAGGCACATTGTCGCAGCAGTGTTGAGGAGAAACTATTCGCTGATCTGGACGACTACAAAAAATGTCAGCCGTAGTTTATTTTATAATTTAGAGCGGATTTCTTTGATCATCCAATTATTTATCTTTTTACTCTAACTTATTTGGCAAACCGAGCTTGGTTCCAGCTTGGTTTCAACTGCTGTTTTCTTCCAATCTAAACTGAAGAATTACCTTCTTTCTCTTTAATTGAACAGTTTGATTCATATTGAACAGTCTCGTATTGAACAGTATTTTACTGAAGGCACTCTATTATTTAATAACATCAGCTAGAGCGTATCAGTTTTGCAAAACCTCATAAGGAACTAGAATATCTACGTAAAATAACAGTTCTCTGGAAATAGTCGACCATGTGACAATTCTGGTTTTGAATGTGCGACCATGTCAACAAGATTGTGATGGATGCGTCAAACGGTCAAAAAGACTACATTTTTTACCCCCAATTAAAACGTTCAAATGTAGCTTGTAAGGGATTGCTTCAGTTTTTAAAATCCTGTATCAGATCGTTGATTGAGTATGCTTGCTCGGTGTATCATGAGTCTTCCTGAGTATCTTTCAAATCATCTTTAAAGAATTCAAAAGCGTGCTATATGAGTATAATCTACCCATGTAAACTGTATGAAGAAGCTTTAGTAATTGCCTGAAGTAGTCCCTCTCTTTCAACGCTCTCAACAAATCACAGAAAAACATTTTCAAGAAATCTTGAACAATGACACACATAAATTACACCGTAAATTATTATCAGAAAACGAAAACAGTTAAAAGACATCTTGAGATAAGTTAAATTTAATTCATGTTTGCACTATAATCTATTTACATGTCTTTGTGTGTATTTTTGTCACTCTGAAAAGTCTATATAGCTCTTCCGATCATTAAACGGTTGCGAGAAGATATGGATTTATGTTCTCGTGACATAAAATCCATATCTATACTCGCAACCGTCTAATCTCCTCAATGTATTATATCACTGGAAAAAAATAGTGAAATCCATGCTATGGAATTTGCGATTGTATCACTAAATCCATAATTCCATGCATAATACTATGTCCATAGTATGGGAATTGCAATTAGTATGAAAATTGGGTTTCCATATTATTTCCAATGAAGATCAATGCTATTTCTATAGTAAGGATTTGGAGAAAATTTCCAGTGATATTTTAGGAAGAGTTTTCTTATTTTTAACTAATTAATTGTTTGTTTTCTAATTTTGAACATAGCTAATGTCATTTTATACATTTTACCTATTTTTAACCTTATAAACTTAACTTAATTCAGTCTTATCAGAGACCACGGAACCAAGGGGAGGAGTATTATTGGCGAAAGGAAGTGCCCTTTTTTGCAGTAGTAAAGAGTGTTTCGGACTGTGTAAGGGTCGTGTCCGGTCCGATGTTATAGAGACTTCATATTTTCAAAAATTTTCGTTCGGTCATATACAAAAGTGCCCCTTTTCACCAATACCCCTCCACTTTCGAAATGCTTCCGCGACCTCTGCATGTGTCTTATGCATGATTGCAATGTTATAGTGAATCAACTATCTATTTATCAAAATTAAAATAATTTATCAGTCTGCGATTTAATTCGCTTGATATCATTTACTTGTCTATATTTATTTATTTATTTAGTTATTTATTTATTTATTTATGGGTTTGCTCAATATTTAAATGGATATTGTTACTCTTTCTTCTCTTTCGTCTCGCATTATTCATAAATATCTCTAAGCCCAAAACCACAACTAATCGTAACTATTATGTTTGTGATGTTACTCTGAGTCTATATCCACACCGGGCGAGCTTGAAAAATATGCCCGGCCACGGTGGGAATCGAACCTACGACGTTTGGAATACCAGCCCAATGCTCTGCCAACTGAGCTACGCGGTCAGGTCGGTTCGAGTAAGTGATATGTCGAAACAGAATGTAGTTCCTTCGATACCAATTTAATCTAGTAATATGAGGTTCTATTCCTACCGTGACCGCGCATATATTTCAAGCTCGCTCGGTGTGGATATACCCTGGCAGAGTAACATCACAAACATCATATTCACCTGATCATGAGAACACAACACCAACACAGAAAAGAAATCATAATCGTAATTAGTATATAATCCGGAGGTGGATAGTGTTCGAGTGGCGCGGTTTGATTGGCTGCTCAGCTCCGGTTATCCTTGCACTATTCACTTCCACTTCGGTGAATAATCTAACATTTATTATATGGGAAGCATTTGTTTTGATAAATCGCGCAATTTGATTGACTGCTGACGAGGCAGGATTTTCCCGTATGCCCACGGGCAATACGCAATTTTTATTGCCCTGCGACGAGAGCCGAGTTTCAAACGGCAAAAAGTGTCTAAAAATCTTTCAAACTATTCAAAACGAAGAAAAATAAACCTAAAATAAAGAAAAAGAGCAACTGCTGTGGTTAATGGACTTTCTCAATACGTTTTTGTCTTTTTGTTATAGCGAAAGTCGAAATTACAAGGTAAATTTTATAATGTTTATAACTACTAAAGCAGTCAGGAATAGTTGTGTTTTGACTATGTGAAGAGCTGCAAATTTTATTTGCAGATAA